ACGCCTGCAGCTTGCTCCGCCCTTCACTCACACCTTCCCGGTGAGGCGCCCCCTCACCTCGTCATCGGGCGGGGATGCGGCCGCGGCCGTTTTTGAGCTCCCCCCACCATATGCGGCGACCGCAGATTCTCCAGTCCGGCTCGGAAGTTTCAGCACCCGCCCTATAAGACGACACCCGGCGTATAAGACGACCCCCGACTTTTGAGAAGATTTTCCTGGGTTAAAAAGTAGTCTTATACGCCAGAAAATACAGTATTTGAAAATGTAGAAAACATCCAAAAATATTTAAATAACGGGTTTTCTTTTATTAACAGTGCGATTAATTGTGCGATTAAAAAAATTTATTGCACAATTAATTACAATTAATTTTTTTAATCGCTTGACAGCCTTAGTCTCCTTTTATCCTAATCCCTATCCCACAGTGAGATGAAAAGGCCTTTAGCAGCTCTAAAAATCTCCTTTGTAAAATAAAATCTCAGATAGAATATTTTACTGTCACACTTCTCTATATAAGTACAGTTAGTCCTGTTCATGTCAATGCGAACTCTGTATATACCCCACAGAGGTCTATTTGAAGCAATGCTAACGTAAACACAAGCCCTCTAACTTACTCATTCAACATCTCAAACTCTATATTTTACATTATTGCAAATAAAAACCATAAAAGCCTTGACACACCACATTTATGGGAAATAAATCAAATATATGTCTGCGGAGTAGAACACATGTTTTATTTTCATTTATTACATTTTCTTCTCAACAGTGCTTCATGAATAATGATGCCACTGTACTATATGTAGCACATGAAAATAAATATATTTATAATTTATGTATTGTATCTCTAAATTCATATATTGGAAATCATAAGTAAGAATAAAATGATAGTAATAGCAACAGCCATAGCTCGGTTATAAACAAAAATGATAAAAACAATTAAAAACAACACTTTTTTTCTTGAAAAACCAGCCAAATTAAAACACTACATTATCTTAAATTTTCAAAATTGTATATCAAAATACAGCTGTAAGTGTACATTTGTAAACATTACCATAAAATAGAGCCAAATGTCAGACTATATATTAGTATATGTTACCTCAGCATTTGACCCCTTCTCCACTAATTTAATAATTGGTAATTTGTTTTTGTCTTCTAAACCAAAACCATAGCTGCCTTCATTAGATTTAATCTGAAAAATAAAAATAAAATTACACAATTTGCCTTTCCATTAAACAATAATGCATGGTGTTTATTTAACATTATTGAATCCTATTATCATTCAATTTGTTTACTTACCAATAGTGACTTGGCTATGACATTTTCCACTACTTTTAAATCATGTTTCATAAGCCTGTGCTTCATATTTGATCCTTCCATTTCTTCATCCGCAAAAAAGCGAAAAAGAAGTGGCTCATCTTTAAATTCACTTTTTTCTAAGACTTTATGATACAAAATATAAAGATTAATCCTTTTATTATGAATTCCTGAATATATGTTTTAAAAACAATTAAATATTGGCAAAGTGCTTACATAGATTAAATGCTGCAAAGCTATTTTAGAGTTAATTCTACACTAGAGGAGTTTGAATTTTCATAATAAATTACACTTTCTAATTGTATATTTTAAAATGAATAAAAAAATCTTAAACAAATTATGACTGAAGGGCAGTTGAGGCCTCCCCTCTTCCACTTCTCCCAGTTTTTCTAAAATGCTATTGAGGAAATCATCTTTTCCATTGTTTCAATCAGAAGATCCATGCCTTGAATCTTTTTATTGGCTTCTTGTCTCTGATGGCATCACATTTAACCTCCTTGTCATCAACTTCAAAACCCTACATATATCTCTGCTCTTACTCCTCTTTTTTCCTCTTCTCACTCTATACCATTCTCCTGATATTCTTGTCTTCCTCTTCCCTGGGGCACTCTCTCCTACTCTCTGCTTCACACTTGGTCACACTCCTCCAATACTCACCTCTTTCTCATTCACCAAATGCCTCTTTTCTCTTCTTTGATTGCTTTTTAGAATTTCACTTCTTATAGCAATCCCTCCTACTTTCTTCTCACATTCGTTCCCACATTCTCCCTTTACTGAACTCTTGTGCCATGGCTGGTCTTTCTGCATTAGTGTTGTCTAATGAAAACTGTGAATGCATCTGGGCAGGAATCATGTCTTTGTCAAGATTCTGGGCTAGGGAGGCGCAACTAATGGCAGGAGCTTGGGATTCCAGAACTGAAGCCAGGGGTCAGAGCCAGTAACAGGGTCAAGAGTCAAGCTGAGGAGCTTATATAGGGACAAGAAGCCAATCGGGGATCACTAAGACCACTGTCAGCCAGATTCCTTGAGGCAGAATGTTCCATGGCATTGAACCTCAGTGGAATGAGGGTCACAAGAAGTGGCCCAGTTACAGCTGCTGCTGGGTGGCACTGTGGGGATGTTGGCAGCTTAATAATCCTCCAGGCCTGAGTTCAAGTCCCGTTGATCCTGACTTTACTATAGCACCTCCCGTTGGGAACTTGGGGTCACCCTGGTAGAATATATAAGCAGCCCTTGATGTAAAGCAAACAATCCTACAATGGGTGTTGTTCCTTACTTACTGTTTCAAGGTTGCTGGGGAGGGGCTTCTCCTTCATAACTGAATGGATTAGGGACAGGTGGTCCTGGGGAATGGTGGCATCCAGGAAATTATGGGGCCTGAAGATGTGTGGTGACTCAGTGTGGGGAATATTTGTGGTCAGGGAGGTAGTCCCCTTTTCCGGACAGGGCATCGGCTGCCTTGTTCTGGGCTCCTGGGTGATAGTAAAATTAAAGCATGTGAAGAACAGGGCCCATCAAACCAGTCTTTGGTTCAGCTCCTTACCCTTCTGAGATACTCCAAGTTTTTATGATCTGTATATATTTTCTCCAAAGGTGGTTTTGATTGATAGAGCCTTCTTACCTAAAATCTCATAATTTTGTTCTGCCGTTGTGAGTTTATGAGTGTAATAGGCACAAGGGAGCAGGTGCTGTTGGGGGCCAGATCTTTGGGAAAGTATTGCCCCAATTGCAACATTAGGTGTGTCGGTCTCAACAACAAAGATCTGCATTCGACTGGGATGAATCATGATTGGAGCAATGGTGAAGGCCATCTTGAACTGGTTGAATGCCCATTGACCAGGTGAAGGGGGTATGTTTACAGAGGAGCTTTTTCTATGGACTATCTGTAGAGCCCTCAGTGGATACAAAATTTGTATATGCATCTGATGATACACAAACATGGTCTGCAGATAGCTGCAGATATAAAGCGGATATCTGTAGATTTGCAGGGCTCTAGATATCTGATCTTAAAACCAAGGAATGAAGTGCCTACAAAAATTAGTGAACTCCTGGAAGCATTGAAGCTCCATGATGTTCCAAAGGGCTGCCCAGGTCCAAACAGCATCCATCTTTCTGGAGTCAATTCAGAAGCCCTTATTGAACAAGATGTATCCCAATAACTCCATGGAATGCTAGTTGAAGCTGCACTTCTCAAGATTTGCACATATGCCATGTCAGTGGAGCCAATCCAGAACTGACCAGACGCGTTGAGTGTGCTGCTCAGGACTCTCTGAGAAAATAAATATATGGTCAAGATAGACTATTACTCCTGGATCTAGAATATCATGAAATATCTCATTTGCAAAGTGCTGGAATGCTGTTGAAAGATTGAATGGCATTACCAAATATTTGTAGTGGCTGTACTGGATTCGAAAGGCAATTTTCCACTCATCCCCTACATAGAGCCACACCAGGTTATAGGCTCCACGGAGGTCAAGCTTGGTAAACTCCTGGGCTGATGTTACAGAGTCCAACAATTCCAGAACGAGTAGGGGAGGGTACCGGTTTCTGATGGTTACCTGTTTAAGGGACCAGAAATCCACACATAAAAGCAGGGTCCCATATTTCTTCTCAACAAAAAGAACTCAGGTCCCAGAAGAGGAGGTGAAGGGATGGATAAATTCTCCTGGAGACAGGATCGCAAAGCGGTCAGCTCTGGCTCTGACATGGCATAGATGAAGCCAAAATGTATCTTGGCTCCAGGTTCCTGCTCAATCGGACAATCATAGTCAAGCTGGAGTGGGAGAGCAGCCACATTCTTTTTCTCAAAAACATCCATGTAGTCATGGTACTTGGCAGATAGGGCAGGACTTGGTTCTAATGGGGGTCCCTGCTGGGCTACAGCCTCGGCCCATAGACTCCTCAGCAGCATCCTGAACTCAGGATGGAGGGGTCATCTTGGAGTCAAGACTCATCTGATGGTGCATTCAGGCAAAGTTGCTGACAGAATTCAGTGCGGAAAATGACTTTCTGCTCACACCAAAGGACATGCAGGTCATGAGTGGCCATCCATGAGATGCTGAGAATTATGAGGAAGTGTAGTGAGTGGATCACTCCAAACCAGAGGATCTCTCTATGGTCCTGGATAATGACTTCCAGGAGTACCGTTTCCAGTTTTACTGGGCCTTAGGACAGGAGCGAGCTATCTGTAGTTTCTAAAAGGTGGGGGGCCATTTTTTGTTGCAGCGGGATACCTAAGGCTTGTGCCATATCAGCGGCTATAAAACTATCCACAACCCCAGAGTCCACAAGCACCTACTAGGGGGTATTTTTAAGGTTTTCCCTGGGACATGCAGGCAAACCTGGAGTTGCAAGTGCTGGGCTGATCATGCCTTGGACATGCTTCAGTAAGACGTGGGGGCAGCTTGGGGATGAATATCCCTTGGTCCAACCAGGCTGGTCCCACTTACTGGGCCTGGGTTTGGTCATTTCCCTACTTTTTCTGTGCAAGAGCCCGTGATGGGCAGCTGGCAAGTGTGTCCAGATTCTCCACAGTAGAAACACAAGCCATGGCATCAATGGTAATCCCTCTCCTCAAGGTCACATGATGATGGGCTGCATCAATTTGCATAAGTTCTGGGACTGGCCACAGATGGGTACTGGGATACATCATCTAGGTGGTGGTGCAGCCAACTTGCTCTCTTTATTTCACTCATGCAGCCTGTTGTCAATGCATATACTAAGACTGATGAAGGCATCTAGATGAGTCAGGGTTTCCATGAGAGCTAGTTCATCCTTGATCTCTTCTATCAATTCCGATGCAGATTACATGAGCTAGGCAGCTTCATTCCATTCTGTATTGGAGATGAGTTGCCTAAAGTGGGTAGCTTTGGAGGCAACCGGTCCCTGCCCTTGCCATAGTTTTCATGGGGCTGCTTCCACCAAGTGAGCATGGTGGGGGTTGTCAAAAATAGAGAAGGCCTGGAGGAAGACATCCCAGTTCAATAGTGTTGGACTCTGTTGTTCCATTAGGAGTGAAGCCCACTCCAGCACCTCTCCCATCAGGAGACTAATTATGAATCCTACTTTATCCTGTCAATGCAGTAGAAATGTAGGTGGAACAGGAACAGCAGGCGCCATTGGATTGAGGAAAGCCCTACATTTTTACGGTCTCCATTGTAATGCTCTGGGATGGGGACTGTTGGACCAGAGTCTGGGTGCACTGTGGCACAGTGTTCTAGTCTCAACCCAGTGGCTGCTCTCACAATAGCTGGTTCTTGGTGGTGTACTGTGTCACCTGGGCCTATAACAGTGTTTTCATCAAGTAGCTGGGGGGTCTGCACTCACAGGGTCTGATTCTCAGACGAGAGCTGCACCACCTGTGTCTGCAACATGAGAAGTTCCTCCTGCGGCTGTCAACCTGTCCAGGTGGTCTAGTGCCCATTGGGACATTCTAGGTAGGGGACAACCCACTGTCTCCATGTCCCGCAGGGACAGCTTTCTACATGGGTTAGTGGCAGTCCAGGATCCTGGGCAAAAGGGAGGCAGGATTAGTAGCAGGAGATTGAGATACTGGAACTGAAGCCAGGGGTCAGAGCCAGTATCAGGGTCCAAGAGTCAAACTGAGTGTCAAGCTGGAGTCAGAGTCAGGAGTTAAGCTGAGGGACAGAGACAGAGCCAGGAATCAGGCTGAGGGTCAATACCAGGAATCAGGATCTGTGTTGGGGTTTCAGGAGTCAATCAGGAGTCAGAATCCAAATCAGAGCTGAGATTACTACCTGGAGTTCAGGAACAAAGCAGCAGGGCAGTCATGGCAACTAGCTAGGGGTCCACATTTTTGCCTGGACACTTCCTGATATGCCCCATGGGCTTATATAGAGACAAGGAGCCAATTTGGGATCACTAAAACCACGATCAGTCAGATTCCCCAAGGTGGAACTTCCCATGGCATTGAACCTCTGGATTGTGGATCACAGGGAGTGGCCAGGTTACAGTTGTTGCCAGGTGGCTGTGTGGGGATGTTGGTTGCCTGCTATCAAGTCCTACTGATCCTTATAGTCTTACTTTATATTTGAACAGCAAGATTAATTTTTACCACTGTCTAAGTGGTTATTAATAAATAATCCACCATAAATCCTTCAAAAAGATTGAAAAAAAGACTGAAAGCCCTACTCCACACTTGTATGTATTCTTCCCTACACTATTAACTTAATCTAAAATAATACAAGAAAAACCTAGTTAAACATCTTTTTTTTAAATTTCCAGACAGCTCCCTCTTTTCAGGTACACACTGAAATGATTTACTGATTCTACCTTCGCCCTTTTCTAATCTCTTGGGGTGGTCCCTGTACCATTTGCCTGCTATGCAGAAGGAATTCAACAAACTGGGGCCCTTAGGTTGAGCAGAATTTACTTACCATGGTGCATAAACCCATTGTCACATAGTCCTACACCAAAGATCATTGCTTCTTCCCTGGTCCGACAATCCCCCTGTTAAACCGTAATAAACACTATGTAGTATAAGAGCATAAGAATGTAAGAATGGCCCTACTGGCTCAGACCAATGGTCCATCTAGCCCAGTATCCTGTTGTCTGACAGTGGCCAGTGCCAGATGCTTCAGAGGGAATGAACAGATCAGGGCAATTTATCAAGCAATCCATCCCGTCATTCACTCCCAGCTTCTGGAAATCAGAGGTTTAGGGACACCCAGAGCATGGGGTCGAGTCCCTGACCATCTTATCTAATAAACATTGATGGACCTGACCTCCATGAACTTAGCTAACTCTTTTTTGAACCCAGCTATACTTTTGGCCTTCACAACATCCCCTGGCAATGAGTTCCACAGATTGACTGTGTGTGGTATGAAGAAGTACTTCTTCATGTTTATTTTACACTTGCTGTCTATTAATTTCATTAGGTAACCCCTGGTTCTTGTGTTATGTGAGGGGGTAACTAATACTTCCTTATTCACTTTTTCCACATCATTCGTGGTTTTATAGACCTCTATCATATCCTCCCTTAGTCATATAAGAACATAAGAATGAACAATAATGAATAATAATTCAGAAAAATTGAACCTATTCTATCTTCATATCATGCACAGAAATCACACTGGAACAGTGTAGAGCTATGCACAAAGATCATGGGCAGATTATGCTCCTAGATAACACACGTTTTCCATCATCTCAGTGACGACTGCCCCCATTGTTATTAGCCACAACATTTTCTCATAAAATGGTGAATCTTTTTGTTAATATTACATTGTCTCTATACATTGAGTATTTATTGACAATCTTCAGAACTAAAGTTCATAAGAGATCCTCCGTTTTTTGTAACTTTTTCTGTTTCTAAAACTCATTTTCACAAATTATCTTCTTCATTCCATACATTGCCTACTTTAATTTCTATGCTCTTTCATCACCTTTGTGAACATATATGCTCAAATCTATATTTAAACCTACTCAAAGAACCATGTTAACTTTTATTTATAATCCACATAACTTTCTGTTCCCAGGTATCCAAGTATCCCAGTGTTGAAAAGGAAGGATTCTTAAATCCCCTCTGTCATGCTATTCCCAAAGAAAACATTTAATTCTTTTCACATTCTGCAGCCCCTCTATAACAGGAGAACATAATCATACTCCAGAAAAAGCAGCAAAGTTAGGAAAATATTGGTACAACTTGATTCAACAAAGAAGTTTTTCCTATTTTCTTCCAATACAAACCACAACTTTGCCTAAAACAAACTGGTTGTAAACTGCTCCCTGCTGCTTCCTTTTGTCCATTCAGTCAGTAATTTGCAGCTTCACACACCATAAATTTTAACTATACGCATTATTAAACAAAATGCTAGCATTTTGAAAGCAGCAAGAAGCTAAGCAGCATGAAAAATTGAAAGATCAATGTGCAACACAGGAAGATCAGCAACTGACCATGGACAGCTGCATCTTGCTGTTTTACAGAATCAACAGGATATTTACATTAACTCTGTTCTAATAATTAGAACTTTAAAACAACATATTTTCATTTTCTTCTATGTGATAAATTACAACTTTCCATGTTAGGAAGTTAAATTCATAATGCAGAAAAGTAAATCAACCCCAGGATACACTTGCCTGTGCAATTAGCCAGTCTATCAGTTTGTTAGCCATGACTACAGATTTATATGTCCTCAGATGATAATCTTTATCCCTGTTAAAAAAAAAACACAGAAGGGAAAAATCCTATGTTTTACACACAAATTGACACAAGCATGATCTATGTTTTTTTTTGAATAGTTTTCTGTACCTTAAAAATAGAACTTCAGAAGCTGCCCTGAGGTCTCAACTCCTTAGATGGAGCAAGCCAAAGCCTACAATGTAGATAGGAGTGGGGAGGAGGGCTGGACTTGTCCCTAGGTAGCCAACCATGTTCCCTGGGTGTAAGGATAGGCATCATGTTACAAGCATGGGAGTGATTCTCCAAGTGAGATATATAGTGCTAACATGAATGTGAGTGCGCTACATATGTGGTAAGCCTCTGAGCATGCCCAGTATGAACTAGATTCTTCCAAAAGCCTGAGTAAACTGTCCTGACAAACCTGATTCCTGCTTTCTTAGTGAAAATGACACTTGGGGCACTGTCTATACAAAGCAGCCTGGGACAGTACACTGTACTTTTAAGTGCTAGGTTGGAATCCCATCCTGCTGCTACGCTGGGTTTTGGGAGCAATCTCTCTACAATTTCTTCGCCACTAACACACCGCCTGAAACACAGGCTAGGATTTGGCTCTGTGTTTGTATATAGTAGCTGCAGTATTCAAATGTATACGTTTGTTCTAAATAAGTCACTAAGAACTTCCCAGCTGGACTCACCTTATCACTGGAGTAAACAGACTGTGAAGACGACAGTACAATCTTACACCCTGTTAAAGATATAGATATGTTTAAATCCACATTTACACTGAAGCAAATACCACTCAGTACATATTCTGACAATACCTATCCATTCAAAATAATGCAAATAACTTGTATTTTAAAAAAGTAGAACAGAAAAAATGAACATTCATTTCATAGATATGTTTTCATGCAGTTATTTCTGAAGTGTAATAAGCCTCCAGATTACAAGACAAATAATATTTGTGACTAAATTATCATGGGCTTGTCTAATTAATCTTAGAAATCCGAGAGATATGTAAAGATGAGTTACATAACTTTAGCACAGCATTAAAAGATTTTTTTTTAAACATACATTAGTTTAAAAGAAATGTATATGTTAAACTTTCACAGCTAAGATGACTTTCTGTGCAAATGAGGATTCCAAACAAACTGAATTACTAAAGAGGAGAAAAGTGAAGTATATTTATGAATATTGCCAGAAAATCAAATTGAACATGACCCACTGTATCCACAAGCAAGCCAAATAAAAATTAGATATAAAACAGTTCAAAAGTTTTAAAACTTTTATTAAAGAGTCATATATATTTGGTTTCTAATGTTTTAATCACAAAATCCTCTTTAAAAGCATGTAACTATCCATATACAGATTTAACAAAACAACATTAAGATTATGGCACATGGTACAGTGGCAAAACAAAAGACATGTAAAGTTTAGGCAGAAACTCTGCCATAGATTGCTGTGTCTGCTAAGTCTGCATTGAGGGATCCCCTTCATTTGAGACACTCTATATTAGGAAACATCTAATTGAAGAATCAGTGAAGTAGCTGTCCTAACTCAGTAGGCTGGGAGAAAACCTGAATGGTCCCAATTTTCCACTGGATCAGGACCACAGGATCACAAATTTAAAAACATCAACATGACTAAAGATGACGCTGTTGCCTTTGTTTTATTCTTTCAATATATCCTTGGGTACAGTGTCAGGGTGGAGATCATGCAACCTGCATATTTCCATTAAAACATCAGGTGACTTTTGATAAGCCAATATACCCTTCACACACTAAAGGAATACCAAAAGCCACTCCGATACAAACAAAAAGAAATTCTGGTTTATACTCCCATACTCTTTTTCTTTTCACTGAATATAAGTGGACTGAAAAATATAGTAAACTACTGTTTCTACTCCAGTCATTCAAAAAGGTGGGCATTATATCCTTTATATGTTTATGTAACATAGTACCTCCTGGATAAAATCATTTTTAGAAACATATTTCTCAGTTTCTGTATTCAAAATATGGTTTGCAATAAGCCAAGAGCCCAAATCTGCCTACAGATATACATAATTAACTCTGATTCACATTAGACAGGTGTCCAGGGACATAGTTTTTCCTAACACAATGCATTTTGCTTGATTTTTAACTAGGACCTCTGTATCTGACCCATTTTTAATGATAAGAGCAGTTTATACCTTGGAAATCACATCCTGCATTTCACTTCTTGGATAGTATGTTCCATCATCATAACGGAACCTGTAGAGCATGTGTTCAGGTTTGAACTGGTGCTTATCTGTAACTAATAATTATCAAGTGTTAGCCAAAGAATTCCAGCTTTCTGCACAGACAGGAGATTAATTAAGGCTACAAATACAGTAATTCCTTACAAGACAACCCCAAATACATTCAGTAATAAAGACATATCATGGATCTATAATTAAACATATGTTGCTATTATTTAAGATGGAAAAGATCTACTTGAGTAAGCAAATGTCAATATTTTTTAAATAGCAACAATACATAGAAAAACAAATTTTATAAGTTGGGGCCAGATTGTTTCTAGCCCTTATGCTGATGCCTAGAGAGCGGGACAGGAATGTACGATGCCTTTCCTACTTGCATGACCCATAAAAAGTCAGGCAGAATGGCAGGCCCTGCACTCTTAGGAGCACAAGGGTTGCTCTGTCCTAACACCCCTCCCCGCCAAGGTTGCATAGCACCTCAAAGCAGGAGGAAGGCATAAGTGGGAGCTTGAACCATAGTTCTACTGTCACCCACCCACACTAGCCAGCAGAGCTGACCAGTTTTGTGCAGGGGAGTAAATGACATCCCAAAAAGGAGCAGGTGCATAGTTTCCACACATCCAAGAGCTCCAGGAGGCAAGATTATGGGGTTTTTAAATAGTTTCATGCATGAGATATATGGAGTATTTCCTGAAGTCTTTGCCTTGGCAATATTCCCATTACAATTAACATCCTTGCAAAAGAGACCCACATCTTAAATTTGTAAACAATCAGAGCTAGATTGTTCCATTCAAAAGGAGAGATAGCCTAGTGCAGGGGTCGGCAACCTTTCAGAAGTGGTGTGCCGAGTCTTCATTTATTCACTCTAATTTAAGGTTTCGCGTGCCAGTAATACATTTTAACGTTTTTAGAAGGTCTCTTTCTATAAGTCTATATTATATAACTAAACTATTATTGTATGTAAAGTAAATAAGGTTTTTAAAATGTTTAAGAAGCTTCATTTAAAGTTAAATTAAAATGCAGAGCCCCCCGGATCGCTCGCCAGGACCCGGGCAGTGTGAGTGCCACTGAAAATCAGCTCGCGTGCCAAAGGTGGCATGTGAGCTGATTTATAATCAGCAGGGATAATTGATCCAGCAAGACAGTTCACTAACTGATAATAATGAGTCCTCTCAAATGTCAAAGACAATGCTTCTAGGTAGGTTTAGCAAATGAATTTCTTCTTTGAGCAAGATTGGGGAAAACCAAGGAAAGAAAAATAACTTTTTCATTACCACAGAGTTTACATATCCACTAGGAAAACAATGTTCAGCACAGTGAGGGGTCTGCACTATAAAAATAATGCCAGCACACTGAAAATAAATGACCAGTATAGTGACTATCTGAGTCTAGCAAAACCCTGTTCAACATTTGTAATGTGCATAACAGCCAAACTCCCCCTCCCCCCCCCCACCCCGTGAAAACAGATGGTTCATTCAACTTTATTTTAAGAATTCTATTTTCACTGAAATGCAGCTGGATCCACACACTAATGAAAGTAATATGTCTGGCTCAAACTTCCATGCTCAGATATAATACTCTTTCATTGTGAAATCACATAACATTCATTTAAGTCTGTGTTGAGGGAATCTATTAGTGTATTTTGGATAAAATTTAAAAGATCAGTAGAAGAATTTTTGGCATCAAAACCTTTCTACTGACAAAAGTTCTATGTGTGTAGTAAACATACTACAGTCTGACATTTTGAATGATTATTGAAGAAATAGTATAGATCATTCACATTAAAATGCAAAAAACTATATGAAGAGATGAATAACCTGGATTTGTCTCCTTTTATTCTACATGTGTTCAGAGTACTCATAACCCTGATCCTCACCTTTCTTTATCAGCCAAGAATATTGAAGAAGCAATAGTAAAGAACTGGGATGTCACCTGAAGCCCTCAGATTTCCTTGACCATTGTTAAATGGAAGATGAAGAAAAAAGCATTTCTGCATACTGCTGTTATTTGGATGTCCAGGAGCAGCAATTAATCCAAAAGGTCCCCAAGGCTTTGACAAGTAGTGCAAAAATAATTAGAGTAGCTGTGTACATTGCTAGCCATGTATACTCCTCAAACAAAATGGAAGCTTCCACAATGGCAAGAGTCCAGCTGACCCATGTAGCCTTGGTAGGCTCTGTATTGCAAAAGTGCCAGGGCTGAAGATTTGCCACCCTGTGAAAGGCCCAATGCAAAAATGACCCAGACAACATTTGCCAACTTTATTAAATCCACTCCTGCTTACTCACTCAGAAATTTGTGTCAAGGAGGACACACCCTGCAGAACTTTTCCAGACTGCAAACCCTAATTTATTTTACTCAGCCCAACTACCTAGCACCTCTTGTTGTGAGAAATCATCGTATTTCACAGAAAAGATCATCTGCAACTGGAATGGCCTCAAGAGCCACTAAGAACGACAAAACAAAACTAGGGCTAGAAATAACATCCTCCTTCTAAGAATTTGGGCCGTTCACAGTAGTATTAGTCATGGAGGCACTAATGGCAACCAAGGCCACCACCTGTTACTCTGTCCCCTACTCCTCCTGGATGGTGAAAAACAGCACAGAATATGTGGGACCCCTACTAATAACAGCCAACACCTCCTTTGCCAAGGGGAATCTATCCCTCACCCAAAAACATGCAATAGTCAGACCAATACTAAAGGAGCCATTGCTCAACAGAGGAGACACCACAAAGTATTGCCTAGTGTCAAACTTTTTAGAGAAGCTAGCTACCTATAGTCCACAATGCCATGTGTCAGCTACCAGTGTTCTGTGTCCCCTCAGTCACATTTGTGGCAAGGTATAGAGACTGCTCTTAAAGCTCTGGCAGAAGACTTGCTCCTATCCATAGTCATAGGAAGAACACCCATACTCAAACTAGAAGGAAAAGGGACACACTTCAAAGAATTTATTTCAGACTGGAAATAATAAGGTATACATTTTTAACTCTGAGAGTAATTAACCACTAGAACAAATTTACCAAGGGTCTTGGTGGATTCTTCATCACTGACAATCAAGATTGGATGTTTTTCTAAAAGATATACTCTGGGAATTATTTTGGGGAAATTCTTTGGCCTGTGTAATACTAGATGATCACAATGGTCCCTTCTGGCCTTGGAATCAATGAATCTATGAACTTGCCTTCTCAGTATCATCCGGGGATGATTCATTCCCTCCTACAGTTAAAGGTGCTAACATCTGGTCACTGTGGAGTGGTTTGTATACAGCAGTGAAGTGGTCAACCACTTCCAACCTAACCAGCAGGTTTTCACTAAATCTAGCTAACTACTACTTTTGACTTAGTTGAGGACTTGATCTGAAAGTTTCTCCTCCTGTATCCATGTACTGTGTCCCTGCATTCAAGAGATGCCCAGCTGGTAGAGTGGGACTTGGGCACAAAACCCTGCATTGCTACACATGATAGAGATTGTGAGAAGACAGCCTCATAAAGGCAGGTCCAGGTGAAAACTGAGTGGAATCCCACCTGGGTTTCAGCCTATCCCAGGTTCAGGAAATCCCTATGATGTAGCACAAGTGGGTTCTAGTTGTGCTGCAGGTCCAACAAACAGTCATACAGTACACTCACAACGGCTGGTCTGGTCATGCTGTGGTTCTGCCAGGACTTGCTTCTCAGCCTTCTGCTGCTTGAGGCACTGCTCACCATGATGGGGGGCAGCCAGGCCAACCCTGAGTGGCTCTGTGACCCTGTGTGTCAGGTCGCAACTCCACTCACTCAATTTTGAGCTCTCTAGGTATTTTAGCGGTTGGGAGCAGGGAGCCAGGCCAGGACTTTGATGGAGAAGTCAGTCAAAATTCAAAGATCTTATTGGATAGCACTTCAGAGGGCTGGACTCATCAATTAGATGTCACAATGTTGATGACATCATCTGTCTTGGATGTTCTATCAGGGCCAGTCCCTGCCCCTTAGGTGACAATGTCAGGCTGGGCAATGGATAGAGACAGAGAGGCATAGCAGATAAATGGGGATTACCATTAAAGCATATGGCCTCCCACAAGGTAAGTACAGCGAGAGCATCTTGAAGGGACTTAAAAGGGGCTAGTGGAGATGACCATCAGTTCTCCTGGGCTCACTCTCTCTTTCTTTGTGTAGAGGAAAGAAGAGGCTCGAGGACCTCCCTGATCCCAAATTGATCAATGGGCCATTATTAGAGATAATGCAGAATTCTGATCTGGATTTAGATTTCTAACACCCCAAAAGGACAGACTGTTGGTTCTGGAGTTTTGATTCAGCTCTTTATTGACATGGAGCTAATGAATTTTTATAGGCAAACCCAGGTTCAGATTCAAAATCCCTGTTAAATTCAGGAGTGATGGGGTCCATGTCTCTGGTGAGTGAGGCGTGGAACTCGAGAGAAAATAGGTGATGTGGGGACTGAATAAACCTAGAAAATTGGAAAAAGACAGACCTTGGGTGGAGGGTCCCTTGTTCCATTTACCCTCACATTCAGGGGTCATTTTTTCATATCTCAAATGTCTTGGCCCAAAATTTTTCTGAAAAGAATAAAACCGTGGCCCATGTGAGTGTTTCTGGTCCCACTGCCCATGACATCCCTCTAAAGGAAACAGGAAATAACTGCTGTAAAGGAACTAATAAGGACTCAGTTCTACTTGGAGTTGATGGGGATGTGCAAAAAGACTAAAATATTGGTCTGGGGAGAAATCAGCTGAAATGCAGCAATGTCCTCGGGCAGGAGCAATTTTAAGAGGGTGCTACAATGGCAACGGTAGCCTTGGGATATCCCACTGGGAAAGACACCATTGCCATCTCTCCCATCCAGGGCTCAGAATGGTGAAGGGACAAGCACAGTCAATACTGCAGAAGAGCTTAGTACTTTTATTAAAATAATGTATTTTTCTACATTTCTATCTGTGCATAAGCATCCTGTGTGTGTATGTTTGTGTGTATATGTACACAGAGACAGAGAGATAGAGAGATCTGAGCCCCTCAGCCAAGCCCAACAGACCTGACAGGGACACAGCGCAGCGAATGTGTTTTGCTCTGACACCACAATGCAAAGATCAGATGGAATTTTATTGCTTGTCTCTCTTGTTTTATTTAGTTCATGAGCTCTTCAGGGCAGTGACATTTCCGATTTATGTTGCATAGGCACCAAGCTCACTAAAGGCACTATCCCCAGGATTTATATTAACTCAACCACTGTCCTGCATCCTTGCCTTTAGTGCCTGGAAAAGCCACGCACCCCTCCCTTCCCCATCACATCCCTTCCTTCTAGGCCATGGTGACAACAGGAAGCTCTTAATTGCCCTCACCATGTTGAGATCTTGCAGTTCAGCATTGAAACAATGACTCTTATCGAATCTCATGATTCAGGGCTTCAAATGGTCAGCTGCAGGGATCATGAAGGATTTTTTCTCCTTCTGAAACACAATTGGCCAGATCCAGATTTTATGGGTTTTATTGCCTTCCTCTGAAACAGCAGGTACTGTTCACAGCTGGAGGCAGCACAGCAGACGAGGTGGACTGATGCTCTGAGGTGATTCAGGTAATCTTTGTTCCCAGATGCTTGGCTGGCTGGTTCTTGCTCACATGCTCAGGGTCAAACTGGTTGCCAGATTTGGGGATTTTTTGCCCAGGTCAGATTAGCAGAGACTTTGGGGGTTTCCTGCTTTCCTCCGCAGCACTGAGCAAGATCACTTGTAAGGATCATCTGGACATATCCGTCTTACTCAGTTCCCTGCCATTTCAGGGCCTTCAGGCATTGGTGGCCCCTCAGTCTCTCCTGTTCATCTTCCACGGCACACAACAGGTATTTGGCTTGATTTGGTCCAATAAAAATCCATGTGGAGAGATTCAGAAGTAAGTTGTCTGTTATCTCCCATTCCCCTCTGTTCTTCATGTCCTCCCACCTAACCAAGCCTTCTGTGCCTTACTCCATTGCATTTAATTCTCTTCCTCTTTCTCCACCACTCTGCCTGGATGCCAGCAGGGGGCAGTGGTGGAAGGCATTGAGACCACAGGAAAGACAGTCTTCCTGCTCTCAATTCTCATGTTGGTGACACTGCAGCCTCTCACTACCAGGAGGAACAACTACAGGAAAATCCTATTTAGTCCTTGCACCCCAGGGCAGGAGCATGTTCCATTGCTCTGTGGGGACAGTGCATGCACAGTCTGGTTGGCTGTGGTGGAACTGAGCATACTCAGACTATGTGCAAAGTAAGCATGTGCAAATTGATTTTTCAGAGGGTTATAACTTGGCCAAATTTGGGTGGCTTTTCACAGGGATGGCAAAAAGCAAATCCCTAACCCAAAGGCCACACCTCTGCCAAATTTCAACTCCCTACTCCAAAGCAGTGAGGTGATAGAGCTTCCCTATGAAATAGCTGTAAAAACATAGGCAAAACAATGTATTTTTCCCTAACCTCCATCTGCGACATGGCTGAAACATTTTTGCTAAAATTTTCCAAAAATTGAAAAATTGGCTTGAGGAAGACACCCAACATGGACAATATCAGCCTGAACAGTTAGGGTTTGGAAAAGTTATAAGCAATTGAAATCAAGGTCTTATAATGGAAAGTGTTAGGCAACTTTACCTATAGTTACACCTATAACACTTGGCAAGCAATCAGGTAAGGCCTGATCCAACTCTCATTATATTTATTCCGAGTTGGATTGGATCGGATAAGACCTATACTGCTGAAATATGGGCACTATAAGTACTTAGATGGGTTTAATCTGGAGAAATGTCACTTCCATGTTTGAAGGGGGGGAAAATATTTTCAGGAATATGTAATAGTCGTCTGTCCCCTTTAAGTCAGAGGGAGAGGAAGAGTGGGGCCTGTGCCAGTCAACCCTGTTCCAAGGTATGGCAATTTTAAGAATCAATGTTCCACTGTGGGCTTGTCTACGTGCAGAAGTAAGTGCCCAGTAAGTTTTAGGGTGTGAATTTAAAGAACACTAGCTAATCCGCACTAACTCCCCTTGTGGACACTCTTACTGTGCACTTAAGAGTGCACTCAGGCAGGTTAGCTTAGTAGACTTCCAAAGTGTATTATGCTAATGAGTACAAAGCCACTCTTCATAGCCACACAGGGAGTTTGTGCAAAGTAGCTAGTGTGTACCAGGTACTGCAGGCTTTTTCTCTACGTAGACTAGCCCTGAGGATCAACAGGCCAAGTTGAGAATGAAGTATAGGTGCCAGAGTCAAGTGACAGCCTCCTGACCATTACAAAGGCAGTGTTGCCAACTTGCATGGTTTTCTGAGAGTCGGGGGTTCTTAAAACCCTTAACTGCTGCAATTGTGTTATTACCTCAGCTTTCAATTTCTAAGAAACCTCTAGCCCTCATTGCTGCAGAGAAGAAACCTGAAAACATGAACTCTAGTCTCCAACAACAGAAGGCAAATAAAAAGAACTCTACATTTATTAAAACAACAAGGAGTCTGGTGGCACCTTAAAGACTAACAGATTTATTTGGGCATAAGCTTTCGTGAGTAAAAACCTCACTTCTTCGGATGCAAGAAGAAGTGAGGTTTT